AGATGACATCAAAAACCATTAGAAATGGGGTTTATAGGGACCAATTATGGCCTTGGCCTTTGCTGAAAAGAATCCAAACTGCTTTCACCAGTATTCACTGGCCTTTGTCTTAGACTGGACACAGAAAGGGCGAAAACCCTGGTCTTGTCACAATTTTAGGAGTTTGACATAAGGCTACCAAACACCAGGCATGGTCATTTTACCACGATGTGGCTGTGATCATTTGTTGTGTGCCCAGTGAAGCCCACTGCTGATCACTGATAGTTCATGGTCCAGTCTGTTTCCCACTTTCATTTAAGTCCTTTCTGCAAATAAATGTGTTTTTTGGTACTTTTCTTGTAAAGTTGTGCGCAGAACTGAGACCTGAAAATCACATTCCATTCCTCCTCTCCTCCTCCCCTCCTCTCCTTTCTCCGACTCCAGAGACCCAAAACCACCTGGTGTTTGTAATGATTTTTTATGTATTTGTCCACTCTGTAGGTGATGAAGTTCCCAACATTCCTCAGGGAAAATTACTTCCCTGAGAGGAGGCTATTCCTTACCTTAAGGTTGATGGACCCAATGAGATTTTGAGCTCTGTAGAAATGAGTAAAGAGAAAATGTGATGTATCTGCTTGGCGTAAGCAGATGGATTATAAATATAACCTTTTGACACAGAGACACTGTATCTAATTTGAAATAAAAAGAGATACATCAGCTGCTTTGGCTGTCATGTGTAGAGAAGGTGGCCTTTTTCCCCCCTCAAGGTTTTTAATTAGCCAACTAGAAGGTCATCATGTAATTATCACAACAGTTACAAGTGCACTGTTTGTTTAACATTAAGTTAAATATGGACCACACAAATTAGATACCATAATAGGCTAGTTAAATATAGGCTAGGAAATGCGTGGAACATTTAAGATATGGGAAAAAGGCATGTGAAAAGAGCGTTTTCATTCCCCAAGGCAATGCTCCTGGCAGCCCAGGGCTGCCTTGGAGCCAGGATCCCTAAATAAGGCTGTGAGGGTAAACACAGAGCAGCTTTTGAATCAGGCTGTGCCACTCAGCGTGTCTCACACAAAGTCAAAATTTTCCTATCAATCCCATGGTTCAGTCTACTGTAGGGAACCTCTGACTACTCACTAAGACCACCAAAGTCCTATATATTTGTTCAGGCATTTCTTATCTAACTTCCACCTGAGCATCAACAGACAATTTATACTTTGGTGGATTATCTGCTCAGTAAATTACACCTGTGTAGCTGTGCTGTGGATGCTCATTCCACAGGACGGGATGGGGTCTGGACAGGCAGCAGGGAGCCCTGAAGTCACAGTGTTCTTGGTCTTGGCATGTTTGCATCATTGCAGCAGAGGGGTGAATTGCTGACACCAAACTTCACACAGCCTCCCCTCTAGCAGTAGGTGCTTGCCCACACACCCTACTCTGCAAAGGAAGGTACTGAGCCTTGCAGGAGGTATGGCCTACTTAAAACCCTTTGGATCCCAATTTTACATCTGCAGTGTTGTTAACAGCTATGATTCTTCCACTTGCCTCTTCCTCACACATCATCCTTTAACAGCTGGTGTTGCACTCATACTGTTAAAACCCATGACCACATCTACCACCAGAAAACAGGCTCTGCTTTGATTGTTGATTCCATCTTGAGACGTTCATTTCACCTTTAAAATCTGTGACAGCTGAAAGCCCCTGATGCACAGGAGGGGGTGATTGCTACTGCACCACATCCTTCTCACCCTGCAGGGCAGAGAACCAAACCAGCAGGGTTGGGCTCCTTTTCCTTGCTGGGCAATGAGCATATCCAGGTTCCTGTACAAAAAGTAAATGATAATCACACAGATCTTTGCTTTATTTCCTTCCAAGCTAAAACCATTGATTCATCGAAGATCGATGCTGTGAACAGAGAGTCTTCTGTGAGCTTGACTGACCCCCCTCTGGCTAACAAGTTCAACAGCACAGTGTCTCCAGCAAAGACCAAACAGGCACAGCTCCCAGCAAATGAGGGTGAGCACGTTTCTGAATGCACACATAAGAACAGCAGGAAGGAAAGTGTGGGCAGCACTTTGAGGTTACTCAGCTATTTTCAGTGGTGGAAGAGTACCTGAGGATTTCTGAAGAACTTCCATGTGTACTACTGAATGCTTTCACCCAACATGCTGAGGAGTTTCCCTTGGAAAGCAGAGCAGGGATACAGGCTTAACCTGGAGGCATAGCCACCCACTGTTTTAGGAGCAAAAATTATCTGTGGTTGGGGAACACCGAGTGACAGTAAAGTTTCCTTTTCCTTTCTGGGTCCCATACAAAAGGGATTTTGTGGTTACAGTGAAGCCTCGTGAGAAATCTGGACCCCTGATCCAACTGGAAGCTGCTAATCAGAGTCTTTCTGCTTCTTCCACTAGACCCATCCCACAACCACTCCAAGAAACATGGAAATCGGGGGAAAAACACTGGGGCCAGGCTTGCAGGTAGGTTCAGGGATCAGCCAGAGGAGGAAGGGACCAGGCAGATGAAGGTTCATCAGTGCCTCTCTCCTTCCCATTGTGACAGAGATACATTTCCCTGGGGTACTGCTGAGGATGCTCAGTAGGGAATGAGGGCACAAAATTACCTGTCAGAAAGACTCTTTTTAAATCTCCACAGGCCTGCGATAAAAAAAAAAACAGTAAAAACATGAAAGTCAGACAGCTGCTAGCACTACTGCTTTATCCCAGCCCTTCTTCTTTTGTATCAGAAAGATGCAGAGTGGAGAAGGATGAGATATTCCTGTCTTCATAGCAAGAAAGAAAAACTTTTGTGGCCACTTTCAATAGAAGGATGCTATGCAGTGTAAAAACAGCTCTAAGACGTTGATCTTGTAGACAATGCACTTTTCCTGTTATCTGGCATTTTCCAGGGACATTACAGGCAATTTTTTGTGGTAGTTGTGGCTATTGCTAGGAACAGTTTGCATAAGTACAGCAAACTAGTGATGCTTTCTCTGATACCCTTTCAGGCACGAACTGGAAGACAGCCATGCTGGTCCTCAGCCCCCTGGCTTTCATACTGGGATTAATAATACTGACACTCAATGTTCACTACAACAAGTAAGTGAGAGTCAGGTTCATTGGCTTTGCCATGAACAGCATCTTAAAGAAAATCTCCAACGTCTCAAAACAAAAGTCTTGGTCTTGGCACCCTTCCCCATTCCACACCTGATGTCACTGGCTCTCAGCAGATGGCTCTGGTCACCAATGTGTCACCCTTGGGGATTTCTCCTCTCTGCCACCCAGTTTATCCATCGCACTCACTGACCCACCCAAATGCAGCCACTACTGTTGGCTCCTCCTCCCCTACACGTCTTGTGCCATCCCTGAAGGAAGTGCCATTACAGTTGCTGACGTGGAGAAGCAACCAAGTGACAGACAGGTGCAGTTACTCTCTTCTCTCTTCACTTAGGAAGAAGAAAATCCTCTCTGCTCTGAAGAGCTCTCCAGCCCACAGCAGCAGAGTCGATTTACGGGAGCCGACCCCGCTGCGAAGAGGGGTCCACCCCCAGCCATACCTGCCACCATCCCGCTCCCCTTCCCTGAGGCGGGGAGAGATCCTCATCGAGTGGAAAGATGGGACTGTCACTCCTCTTTTTGACAACGTCAATTACCAAGTGGACTAGCTCCAGAATGACAGAGCTTTTGTTCCCTCCCGTGTCACTGCTCCCACCAGGAAGGATGCCACCACAGCTATCTCCTCCCTGCCCTTGCTGTTTTGACAGGAAGCACAGTTTGGGGTTTTTTTCTAAACACTTGAGTACAATCCTCTTGCACAGGACAAGGGCTGAAGTAAGCAGAGTAGATTGTTTGGTTTGTATAGGCACATGCTGCTTAGCAATTTCAGAACTGCTTTAACCCACAAGAAACCCCAGGTTTCCCTAAAGAAGCTGGGACTTCTGCCAGCTGCAACTGCCCATTGAATCAAAATTAGAGTTACTGAGCATATGAAAAAGTGAATCTTTGAAGACAATGCAAAAGGTAAAAAGCAAAAGTCCTGATGATCCTTAAATTCTTTTTAAGATAAAACTAGCTGCCAAGAGACAAAGAAGGCCATCAGTTACATTGTCAGTGTGAGAATGTAATTAATAAGCACTGCCTTCTATAAAATCTCTTCCAGGTATCTGCCAAAATATTCATTCCCACTAAGTTGTCAGTTAAGTAACAGCATTAAAAGGTAGCACTCCACTGTCCTTTCTGCATCACTGCAAGAGCCCCGCTGAGAGAGCATGTGTCTCTCAAAACTCTTCCATATTTAAGATGTACTAAACCTTATTATAACACACATCCTCTTTTATTATATAGACTGGCAAGAAATGTCGGTCATGCTTGTTGGGGATATTGCATATAGAGCCACTTTATTCCAGCTTCAGTCTCTGATTTCCTATAATCATATGGAATAGACAATGAATAGATACACTGCTCCACCAGAGCAGTAATGCAGTTCTTTTTCTTTTAGATAGAAGTAAGACATTGTTTTCAGCCTTTACACTTCTTGTTTAAGCAAAATTACCTGCAACTATCACACTCAATCCTGATCTTTTCTCAGTGAAATCTGTAATGTCTTAGTGCTTTCCTAATATTCATGAATGTATGCTTTCTTTCTCTCTGATTCTGAGATGATGTAAGCATGGCTATAAGTCAAGAGTTATGTGGAGAAAGAAACAATAACACCAGGAAATTACAAGTATGAGCTGTGTCAGTGCATTTGTTCAGTAGAGCAAGGGAAACAGTATCCTCACATCTCTTACTTGAGCAACGCCTTTCACTTGACCTAAATTAAGCTGTTCTGCTATTTCAGTGTAGGTTAGATTTCTCTTGAGTTTGGTTTTATTTAACCTACAGCAGAAGTAAGGTCTCTCCAGGGAATTTAAAATCTCTGGGGTTTTTTAATCATCTTAAAATCTCTGGTTGTTTGTTTTTGAGGGTTTTTTTTTATTATTTTTCTTTTTAAATGGTAAAAAGTTCACTGTCATAAGATATTATTATAACAAAAAACTTTAATGGTCTTAAAAAAAACCCAAAACAACCAAGCCCTATTGGTTTAGGGCATAAATATCATAGAGGTTGGAAATAAATATCTTTGCCAGGCAGATTATTCCATATTTATTTACTGGAGGGTTTCCCAGATGCTCCTTGGGAAAATATTTTACTATTAGACATAGGCAGAGGAAGAACTTTTTCTTCACCAGTGAGCAGCAAGAATCACAGTTAAATTCTGACTCTCCAACATTTCTACTTTAAATGAAACTCAAAGACTCTGGGATCAAAATATGTTTAAGAATCATTTTACTCACAAAATTTGTGGGAATACATTCTGTATGTAAATCACTTAAAATGCACACACAGTGCCTTACCCATTATCACAGTTACACCCCTTGGAATTTTTCCAAGGAGCACATCACCTGACAGTGCACAGCACTGGTCACTCTCCGAAACCTTGACAGGCTTTGGGAGCACTATGTGAGCAGTGCCATTAAAAAGGAAATACTGGCTTGGAGCTGAGCTAATGTGTTTTCCAAAGCATCAAGTGCCCGCGTCCATTATTGCTGAACGGGCAGAACCGATGACTTGTTAATGACTCTCTAACTCCAGCTTAATATGCTAATCTTGCTCATAAACAGGAAGGCAGCAACACCATTGTTTACACAGCACTGATTAAATGGTACCTCAAACAATAATGAAAAACCAAGACTGAGGCTGCACAGGCTTTTAACTCTTCTCTCCCACTTTCACCGGTTGTTACACTCTCTGCCACCTCCTGAGTGGAACACTTCTGAGGAAGTGTTCATAATCAAAATAAAGCCTGATGTAATGTGGACGAGCACTGAAGTTTTTTATGTGTATAGATACATACATATCTACATATAAAAGCCTCCTTATAGTGCATCCCCTTTTTTGAAAATATAAATATTTGCTATTTTAAATAACTCCACTGGAAGATAATGGGCTGACATGCAAGAGATTCTTGTCACACCAGTACCAACATTAGTAATGTCTGCTACCCCAAAAGATGAGTGGGTGCAGCCATAGAAGTACTGATAGTATGAAACAGACATAGATTGCACACAAGCTTGGATATCCTGTGCAAAAAGTGGATTAAATACCCTTTCCCAGCCCCCTGGAAAATCTATGGCTAAGGTGTCTGTTAAAGATCAAAAACTAAAAGAAAGAGGCAAAAGAACTTCAATTTACCACTTAAATACTGTACCTCAACCATTTACTAAGACTGTCTGGGTGGAAAATATTCTCACAACAGTACATTATGGATGTACATAAATTCATGATACAAAAAAAAAGACCTGAAATGATCTGACAAGTTATCACTGCATATCACTGGAAGAATTGGGAATAGAACTACTGCTTCCTCATTTGAAATTCAAGGTATGACTTCTGCAGTAAGCGTTTTGTTATTAAAAATCCCCATATGCTCATTTTCTCAACTCTCTGGCTTTACATCAGCAAGTCAAGATGTATCAAGTGTTTGATTTTTCAAAAAGACCTGTGGTTGTTCAGCACTTCAAGGAAGAAAAAAAAAGGGAAAAAAAAAAAGAAAAAGAAAAGGAGACAGAGACAGAGGAAGTCTTTTGTTAGCTCTGGGTTCAATTCAGACATCTCTGGCTTAGGGTTCAATCAGACTATGCTTTTTTGTGCTAGCTAGGAGAGACAAAAGCACATTCTCTTTAAAAGCTCCTTGTATCTTCACTAAATTTCTACAGATTAAAAACAAAAAAGGAAATCTACATTTCTGCAGCCATATAATTCTTCCTCCAGTTTAAAACATAAGAAGCACACCTGTCTCCTCAAGAAATCCCCTTATGCTTCACAAAACCACTTATTCTCTGGAGCACAGAAACTGATGCACTTCTTTCAGCATTGCTTGCATGTCCTCATATTCTGCAAATTTGCAGGCATCCTCCAGCTTCAGCCACTGGAAAGCTTGGTGCTCCTCTGACAGCTTGATTTCTGTGTTGCAGTCCTTCATTTCTGCCAGCCAGTACACGACGGTCTTGGGCTTGCCATGGACAGGGTAGTGCAGCTCCTTCTTGTAGCCCTCGATGAGGGTGAGCTGGCTGGCCTGCAGACCTGCCTCCTCCTGTGTTTCCCGGAAGGCTGTCTGCAGGTCATCCTCCCCAGGGTCCACGTGGCCTGCCAAGAGGGTGGAAAAGTAAATCTCCGGGAAGGAAACTCACGTTCTGCTTTAATCGGGAAACACTGGGAGGCAGAGATGAGAGCACATGGTAGCTGACACGGGATGAAATGGAAATTGGAGAAGAGAGATTGCTTTTCCAGATCTTATGTCTTGATTTGTCTTTGTCTTGTGGCTTTTAGGATCACTGTTTATCCCTCACCTCCTGAAACTTCCATCAGCCTCTCAGCATCAGAAGTCTTTTCTTCCCACTCCTCCCTTCCACTTCTGGAGTACCCTATACCCATAAAGCTCCACCTTGGATTATACTGAGGACTGAGTCCCTCATTTTTCCTTCATCCAGTTAGAGCAGAGACAGGTCATCTGAGAGTCTCAATCCTCTCTCAAACATGTTCTCTCACATAAGCTTAAGGCTCAATTCTGCAAAACTCTTACTTGGGCCAACAGTCCAGAAACAATGGGACCAGGTACAGATGTGTACCATTTAAAAGATGCATTTCATTTTTAGGCAGACAGGGATTTTTTTCTCTTCTATACTCCCCTCTGAAACAAGCAACAAGTCTAAGAGCCAGTCCTTTCAACAGCTGGGTAGTTCTTCTAGGACACACCATCTATTTCACATTGCTCAGAATGAGAGGTGCCACTACAAACAAAGGATAAATATAACACATCCCCAGCCATTTGTACTTTTGTTGAGAAATGTCAGATTTGGTTTTCTCATGAAAGCTACAGAATATAAATAGAACAAGCGAAGCAAGACCTCAAAAAAGCAACATAGCAGGAGCTGGAACATTTTGGGAGGTAAAAAAGTTTAAGCTCTGTTTTGTCCCTGGTGTCACTCTATTTTCTATGTAGTTGGCTACAAATAGCTATAATTTAATTGTAGAGATGAATTGTTCCTCAGGTCTGAGATACTCAAAGTGCCCTTTTAGTACCACAACTGGGGTATATGGGAAGTTTGTTTTGCCTTTGCAACAGGTCCTACTCACTTCCCTGCCTGTGTATCAAAAGTGTGAACACCTCTTACAACAAGACATCACCTCAGATATAAAATGCACTTTTCTTTCAAGCAGTCACTGTGCAGAAAATAGCATCTGATGTCAACACCTGTTGATAACCTCAGGTCAAAGCTCAGTAAGTTGCCAGGTTTGTGCAGTACAGCCTACCTGCAGAGCAGGAAAAAGGACTGCAGGCAGCACCTCATAAAACACAGCTTTCAGATCCTTTCAGATCCTCCCACCTGTTCTCACTGGTGCAGTTCTAATAGACTGAGAAGGAAAAAGAACTCTACATCCCCTTCCCATCAGCCTCAGCTAGTGCAAAGTCACAGTCCTAGGGGCAGAGATAAGGCTGATGAGGTTCATGTGAGGGGATCCAAGCAAGTCCAGTTTAATCCCGTAAGAGTTGCAGCAGCTTAGAGAACTTTTAAAATAACAAAGTACAGCTGTAGCTGTAAACTGCCTCTTGTGTGTGCTTTGAGACACTATTACAACTTCTCCTTCTGGCTCCAGCCCCATGGAATCTGTGTAAACATCACATACATGTTACCACACTGCACCTCCCAGGGTTACCTTGGAAGATCCCTCCTATCACAGATATTATAAAATGGAATAGCTTCTCCTCAATAAATTCCCCCAAATCAATACCAAGCTTCAATTACAGGCCACCATCAGATTGTGGTTTTTGATCTCTAAAATCTGAAGTGGTGTGTTGAGGGAGGTGATTCTCCCCCTCTGCTCTGGTGTGACCCCACCTGCAAAACTGCATCAATCTGGAGTCCTCAGCAAGGGAAGGACATTCACCTGCTGGATTGAGTTCAGAGGAAGCCATGAATATGATCAGGGAGTGGAGCACCTCTGGATGAGAGAGTTGGGGCTGCTCAGTCTGGAGAAGAGAAGGCTCTGGGGAGACCTCAGAGCCCCTTCCAGTGCCTAAAGGTTGGTGGTTTATGAGAAAATTGGGGGCAGACTTTTGGAAAGGGCCTGGAATGACAGGAGAAGGGCTCCTGCTTTTTATCTAGGAGAGGGCAGATGCAGACTACAGACAAGGAAGACTTTTTTTCACTATGAGGGTGGTGAAATACTGGCACAAGTTTCCCAGAGAAGCAGTGAGTGCTTCATCCCTGGAAACATCCAGGTTGGATGGGACTCCAAGCAACTTGCTCTAGTTGAGGATGCTCCTGCCCACTGGTGGGGGCTTGGACTAGACAACCTTTAAGAGTCCCTCCCAACCTACACTATTAGGTGTGTGAGATGTATGCTTATGAGAAAATTAGCTCCCTACCAAAACTCCTACAAGTAATTTAAATCACTTGTCCAGAATTACTGTGTTCCCAGGGAGCCTTCCACAAGGATTTCTTCTCACAACAATCAATCATGTCCCAGCAGATGTTTTTTTAGCTTTCCACTAGGCTGCAAACTCAATTCCCTTAGGCTCTTGGTGGAGTAGACAAAGGGGGAGGTTTGGAAAGTTTTGTTCTTTCCCTCTATAGGAGAGCCTAACTGACACTGTAAAAAGATTTTTTCCCTCCAATCTGCAAGTTCTTGTTTATAAACTGCTGCACCATGCTTTGAAGGTGACACATTTTACAAAATAGAAGCAAAAACTATTGGGGAAAAAAATCTCAGGTGGGAAAAAACAGCAAGAAGATCTCCAGGGAACCTGAAGTACTTTTGTGCTGCACTTTTCCTGGTACCAGGGCTGTGACTGTGTACTACCAAACACTGACTCTGTGACATGCCTTTATGGAGGAGGTGCTGCTCTGTCCTGGGACACAGGGCTTGTTTTCTCCTCTGAGGCCTCACTGATGACCAAGAATGGCTGGTAAGGTTAATTCTCATATCTGTCCCTCTCATCTCTATTGCATTAGGCAAGTGATCTTTATTAATGATCTCCTACATCTCCTAAGAAAGGTGTATTGAAGTGTTCAATTACAGATTTCAGTTTGCCTTCCTGCTGACTGTGACCACAGCCCTGCAGACTCTGACCACACATGGGTCAAACAATCCTGCACTGGCCACACTGCAGGTGCCTGGCAAAGGGTGAGACCCGAGACAAGAAGGCAGAACATCCCCTCATTGCCTCACTTCAGTCGTGTGCACACCTTGCCAGAAACATCAGACACCTGAGGAGCTGGGCTGGGTGACAGTCCCTGCCCCAACCCAAATCAGTCATGCCCAACACTTGGTACAGCCACAACTGTCAGGGCGTTTCAGCCTCAGAACTGCCCCCTCAGCTGTGCCAGGGGCACCATCACACAAACAGCACAGTCAGCAGCTTCTCCCAGCCAAAATCCTCTCAGCAGCCTGACACCAGTGACTGCCAGGAGTGTCACCAGAACAGAAATCACCTTTGGGCGGGGTCCAGTGGTGGCTCCCGTAGGATGTCTGCAGCAGGAGGTACTCAATGCTGTCAGTGACCTTAGAGGACGGTGCTGGCTGCAGCCTCCTGAAGATGATCAAGCCACAAGCTCTCACAGCCATTCCCCTCTGCCAGCTGCACCAGGAGCTGCGGAACAGCACAAAACATGGGGCTTGAACAGACCAGCTCTATTTAGCCAGCAAGCAGATCTCAGCACAGCAAAAAAGTTGTCCACCCCTTCGAAGTTACTACAGAATTAAATTGTATATTATTAGCTACCTTTGAATTGTAAAAAAATTTCCTTTGTTATTGAGAAACATGAAAAATGACCTGCATGTCATGTCTTTGCAGCTGATAAATTACAAACCACATTGCAGGGAGGGGAAAAAAATTACAAAGCAAAAGGAAAGCCACAGATTAACACTCTGAAACTTTTCCACTGCAAAACTGCAAAGGCCCTGCACAGAGGTAATACCTCACCATTACTGGAACTGGCATATGGAAATAATTGCTCTGGACAGTTTCCTGGAGCACAGGACTCCTCAGGATATCGGGGCAAAGCTGAGAAAATGAGTGATAAAGGACAGGCTCTCTGCTGTCCCACCTAGACAGAAGGCTGTCATACAAAACTAAAAGTTTCTTAGCATGCCTGTTAAGCACTGGTTTGATGTAAACAGTAAGGAACACACCTCTTAAGTGATAAATATTGTCAGCAATAAGCTACGCAGCCAGCATGAGTGGTCCTATAGAGAAAAAGAAGCAACGGAGATGAGTAAGCCATGCTACAAATCTGGCCGATTCCCAGTTCCGGGAAAAGCTTTACATTCCGACAGAGAAGCATAGATCAGTAAATAATTTTACAGAGCACTGGATTTTCCTGGGACGCCAAGAGCGGCATTGTGAGACCTCCAGCTCCCAACACGGGAAACCAGAGCACGGAGCCCTTCGCCACCAGCCCCGCCCCGGCACGACGCTCATCTCCTTTGGTCAGCCACTTCAACCGCTTCCTTTAGCTCCTGCCTACTTCCTTCGGTTCAGCCACCACAAGGACAACACCCCTCTGCGGCCCCCGCGGCACCAGCACCACCTCCCGTGCGCTCCTGGAAGGACAAGGACAAATCCCCGCGGGGCCCCTCCGCCGGCGCCTGGCCCCGCTGCCCTGCCCCCTCCTCGCCGCCCGCAGAGGGTCCCCCCCGTGCCCAGGGATGGGGACACCGGGACGCCGGGGATGGGGACACCGGGACCGGGGACACGTGTCACCCCCACAGCGGCCACCATGGACCCCGCCCTCACCTCTGCTTCTGGGTCCGGCAGTGGGCGGGAACCAGCGCCTGATTGGCGTCAGCATTAGCCAATCGCAGCGGCAGCGCCTCAGCCGGTAGCCACTCCCTTCTCGTCCCGCCCTCCAGCCTTCACTTAGATCCCACCCCCATACCCGAGAAGGCCTCGGATTGGCCTCTCGCGGCCGGGAGGTGCCCTACCCGCCTCTCTCCCCTCTCGCTATTGGCTGGCTGTGCGCGCGAGGCTGCGCGCGGGCGTTTGAAGCGGGAAAAGCGTTGTTGCCATGGAGACGCGGCTTAATGGCCGCCGCCGAGCGGCGCCGCGGCCGGTGAGTGAGGGGAGACCCCAGCCCTGAGGGGACGGGGACAGCTGGGTCAGGGAGGGCTCTAGGAACATCACTCTGACCGGCCTCACCGGGCTCTAGACAGGGGAAAAGCTGTGGTGGGACAGCTCCTGGAAGGTTGAGACATGTCCCCCCTTCAGACACGCGGTGCAAGTCGGGACGCGTGGCGGTTTGTTTAGCTACATTTTTATAATTACAAAATATTTTTCATTTATGTATTTTATATATTTTACAGATAGCACATGGTTTATATACCACGTAAAAATATGTAAGTGCAATTAAAATTACATATTTTTATACATTATGTAAAATATGTAAAATACTTAATTACTACCTAAAATATATTTTAATATATTTTGTATAAGATCTATGAAATATATTTTTTATGTTTGTATGTTTTAAACTTTGGAATTATAAAAGAAACCGTGAGGGGCATTTGGCGGACCCTGCTGGGAGGATGAGCTCAGGCACGGTTTTCAAATAATTGGCACCCTGCCATAACTCGTGGGTTATTTTCTCGGCACGTGGTTGAATATTGGACGCTTCCAATAGTCAGTATCCCAATATTGGACGCTTCCCCTTCCCCATGCAGCTGTTCCTGGCAGCTGTTGGGATTAGCTGCAGGATGGGGCCTCTTCTGCTGAGGTCACCGGGCTATAAATAGTATGGAGAGGGGAATAAAATACTCTGACATGCTTTGTGGGGAAGCAAAAAAATCTCCAATATTTGGTTTTTTGTCAGCCAGTTCTATTGACATTAATTAGTATGGATAGAGCACCACAATACTCTGAAGTGCTTTCTGCAGAAACAAAAGAATCCCCAGTATTTAGTTGTTTGTAAGGGTGTTTTAATGACATTGTTTTATTAACTTCCTCAAGGTATGTCAGTGGCAAAGGAAACCCCTGTTTCTTACTTGTTCCTGCAAGCAGCAGACCTGTGTCAAGCTCCAGCTGTAAAATAGCTTTTAAAAAATTTAGCATTAAAACCATTCCCTCCTCTCCAGTTATTTTTGCTGTATTGAAGCTGTAAGTGGTCATCTATTGTCAGTGTCCAGCTTCAAAACAGCTGAACGCTTGTTCCAAGGAGCAGTGGAGTGTTTAATGCCCTGTTGTTTACGTGCAGGGTGGAGTAATCCTATGATCTTCCAAAGAGATCTGCTGCAATGTCAACCACGGCTTCACAGATCCCCACCTTTTGCATTAAACTAAAATTTTTGGCTCATTTTACAAAACAGATTATCTCTTGTTGTTGAGCTTGTCTTAAAAAAGTGCAGCTCCCTGTTCTTCGCAGGAATGCCCTAATTCCCAGGGAAAGGGGTCAGAATGATTAATGGTAAAGCATTTTGTGTGGTGCTCTGGGAAAGCAAATTAGCCATTCACTTCTGGAGGGTTAAATCAGATTTGGCTTTGGATCACCTTAAAAAAAAGAGCTTAATGTTCAAATGAATAAGGAATTAAGATGGATAGGTAGTGACAAGAATTAATACCTTTCCCTTTTCCCTATTTATTCTTTGCTTCTGTATTTCAAGAAACCTGCAAATTCTTTGGCATGAGCAGAACCTGTGATGAAGTGCTGAAGTCTTTTTTGGGGTAAAATGGTTGCAAGTAGTGAGTACAGTGTGCTGCTGTAGCTGCTATCAGGGGAAAACACCCACCTGCTATACACATTTACAAACTTTTAAAGCTCTTAAGTTCTATTTTTATAAGGTACTTGTGGAGGACAATGGTTTACACAGAAAACAAGGTGGTTTTTATGGTTTGTATGCTTATTAACAATTTCTATGTCTATCAAATACCCTTGAAAATCTTGACTAATAAAATTATTTCATAATCAGGCCAGGTTTTATGATTCAGAGTGATTACCTTAGCCTATATGCAGGACAAAATATGTAATTTGCATTTGAAGGGGTGTAACGTAAGATTTCTTCACTTTATTTCCCTAATTTAAAGAACAGATATAATGACGTTTGTGCTCTCTCTCAGTGGTGACACTCAGGAAATCATCTCAATCTAAACTTGTCACTCTAAATCATCTAAAATTGTCAGGTCAATATGAATGGGATTACAGGACATGTGAGGGTTACTCAAATGAATGGGGTGCTGAGATCTTTAATAAATCAGAAGTTAATAATGATCAAGGTATAGTGGTTCTAGGCTGCTTTATTCTTAAAATAATTTCTATGGGGCTTTAACATCATTTATTTTATACACAGTGATTGACACTCACCAAGCACCATTGAAGACCTTTCCTCCACCTTGAAAAGTGCATTGAGAAGGAAAAGATCTTGTGAAAGAGGTAATTAATAATTAATAGCATTTTAAAATGGAGAGTCAGCTCCTAGAGCATAATTTTGTTGTAAGTTAATTTCCTACAGGACAGAAAAATGTAACCACTCCTTTTTATTATTTACACCTGACTTTTCTGTTTTTCATCAGCTTTATGACCATTGAAAATCCTCTAATACTGAAGCTGAGGAAGAGTTCTCTTATGACAGACTGCAATCTAATTCTGTAGCTAAGCTGGTCCCTTTTATATATAATTCTAATGCTTTTTTACAATAAGCACTCACACATTATCAGCATCTGGAAGCCTTTTAAGATCTTTTTAAAACATCTTGGTATATGAAACAAGTTATAGAGAACTCATGTTTGCCACGTAGAGGTGTCAGGCTGGGTGCATGTGGAGAATTATACCTCCACACTCACCTCTTTCTCAAAATATATTATATTCAACTATTTCAAGAAGTCCCAGTCTTTCATCTCAACCCTGTTTTCAGTGAAGCTACCCATATCTTTGTGGGGAACAAGGCCTAGGTTTTGATATGAAGATACCACCCTGAAGAATGGTACGTTTTTCTGCCCCATGATATGTTATGGGTGAGCAAACAAATAACTGAGGAAATGCTGGCTGTTGCAAGAGTGAAAGTCTTCTGCCTTTTTTTTGCCAGAAGATGGCATTAACAATTTAGGATTCTTGAAAACCTCCTCTTAGTTTTCACAAAGCCGGTTTATTTTGATGAATTGTTTATCTGTTACAAAAAGCATCCTCAGACACAAAGATCTCTCATCTAGGGTTGGATGAATTAAAGTGTTCTCTCAATAAGGAGAAAGATATCCTTTTTTTTGAGCATCAGTGATTGAAAGGTGAGAAGAGTTTCACTGGCAATTGCAGTTTTCCCTGAGTTCTGTCATGTTTGAACCACACAAAATCTTTTAGCAATTGTCTACTCTTGAGTTTCAATGTGATCAAAAATGCTGATTTTCTCATTATGCCAACGCCTAATTTTTTTCCGGTGGTTAATTAATTTATTCCTCCTTTATTAGTGAATGGGGTTTTTTTTCCCTAGCTTGTGAAATTCCTGTCCTGTCAAAAAGGAGTTGGTGGAGTTATCCCTGAAACCACTTAGATCCAGTAAGATTTATTCTATCTGGAAAGGCAGATCTCAAGTCTCATTAAGAGGCCAGGTCTCATTAAGAAACCATTTAGTTGCTTTCACATGGCACAGAGCTTTAGCTAATTAGCCACAGAAGCTGCTTACATTGCTCTTTTAGGTTCTGCAGTACCTACATTACTTGGATTTTCCTAATGCCAAGAATTCTTCTGACTTGTCATTCCATATAATGACAACCTGTTATTTCTAGCTGTTTAAGTATATTTTGTTTCATTTTTAATTAGAACCTTGACCTTCAAATTTGTAATTCTCTTCCCTTGTCTGCTGTTCTTTTTTTAGAAAGTGTCTCCATTGCTTCCCTTTCTATTCTTTTTTCTCTTTCCTGTGTTCACCATTATAATTTGAACAGAGGTTGTGACTGAATTAGTGTCTTTGGACACTCTGTATTTAATATAAGGATATATGAAGATGTAGGTGTAATCTAGGATACAGATAGAGAGTAGACAAAGTAAATTTATTTGATTATTTTTGCCTTTAACAGATTTTCAACATTTTTGAGATTAGTATCTTGGCCTTGAGTTCTAGTTGCTCCTTTCATCAAACGGAAGCTTCTCATGGCAGTGCATACAGAGAGTTGCACCTCTGTATGTAAAACCACCTGCACTGGTTTTACATCTAAAGCTACCTTATGTAAGAAAGGGAATTTTTCCAAAATGTATTTAATTTAAGTCTCAGGTTCCTGTGTGTTTTTATACGTTAGAGAAGTTGGCAAGTGGAGAATACTTGTGAAACCCTTGCACACATGTGGTATTTAGTCTCCCTGATCTCTGTGTTTGCTGTCCTCTGTCAGTTTTGATTTCCACCTTCCAGGATCTATCAGCCTCAGCAGTGACTCTAATTTTACCTCAGGATTCAGAATCACATTATCTACAGATTAAATAAATTCACTTACTTGTGAATTTTTTGGTCATGTAGTTCATTGTTGTTGAATCTCATCATTTTACCTAAAGCATGGACTGTAAGTAATTTTAAATGTTCTCTACTGTATATTTTGACCTCTGTAGTATCTTACACAGTCAGCACTTTATATATTAATCCATATGATTTTATTGTTATTATTACTACAACATAATGTGTTAATTAATGACATGGACTCAAATTTGGGGATGACCTTATTTTCTTCTATAATGTCATTGTAGAGAGCCTTGAAAATCCTCACAAAGACTCTACCCTGAACTACAGGGAGGAAAACTTAAATGACTTGTTTTTGTTGAGTCTTACTGTGACCTCCAAACATGAGTAAGAGCAGTATTTGCTAAGGTCCTAGACTGAACAAAGATAGGAGAAGGCAGTGGGCAGCAAACACTTGAAGTGCTATCATTTTTGTGTTTTATGGAAGAAGTAAAAATATCTGCAGATATTAGTCCGTCGGGATACAGACAGCTGCACCATGCATTGCCAGTAAGACATAAGTGAAGAAGTTGGGGGATTTGGGGTATACTTTTCAGTGATTCATGTTTCTTTTTTGGGTTTCCCAAGAATGCAAGTATGGCATTCCAGTGGCATATATAGATTTAGAGAATTGCTGTCTTTCAGATTTTGCAGAATTTTTTTTTTTGGTTTTTCTATCAAGGAGACTCAGAAATGCTCAGAGGATTCATGACATAAAAGAGAAAGGTACACAACAAAACTGCAGCTTTGCTATAGTTCATCTGTAAGATGAATGGTCGTAATTAGGCAGCTTGAGGTGAGGACAAATGCAATTTTTTTCTTCTCTGGTTAGTTAACCCGGGGTAGCTGAACCATGTTAGACCATGTGCCTTAATATTAAATTGACTGTCTAAAATTAGGCATTTTACATTCTATAGCTTGAGGACAGGGTTTCAGTAGCTGTGGCATTCATCAAGTAGACATCAGGCGTGTAGGAACTCTGTGGCAGTGAGTAATATTGCCTTGTGCATTTCTTACATGTTGTATATTGTATATAATTTTAAAATACAGTTTCATGGATAAAAGATGTGTTTCATGTTTTACTTTATTGTTGTTATGGCTATTTTTTTTTGTGTTTGTCAGTCTAGTGTATGGTAAACTTGGAGTTAAACAAGCTTCTAGCCTAACTGCAAGTAATGGCATCAGTAAACGTGCAGTTTCTTCATTAGTAACTTTGTCAGATGTGGTGTTTCATATTATTCTAATGTTTATTTTGTTTGATTTCTTGCAGGCTCTAGGTTGAAGATGGCATCATGCCTTTACGAATGCCTTTGTGAAGCAGGACTTGAAAAATACTATCCCCACTTTGCTGCCTTTGGTGTTCAGACAATTGATGAGCTTGCCGAGGTTTCCATGGAAGATTTTTCCAAACTGGGGGTCCATGACATAAATGACCGCAAACATCTTTTCCACCTCATTAGAATAATCAAATTTACACAACAAGAAGGCACTGCAAACCTAAGCAAGCAGGATTTTCAACCACATGGCCTTTTCATTCAGCCTCAGGTGACCAAGTCAGGACCCCGTAGACAGCTGCGTTTCGAGTCCTTTTGTGGAGAAAATGATGGAACAGTTAAAGACTCTGAACCGGAGTTGTATCAGTCATCTGATTTCAGTGCCGATGAAGAGAAGGACAATGTAGGGGAAATGCTGGGACACATCCCACCACACAATCCAGAACCGATCAGATTAACTAGAAGAGACCTAAATATTGCTGGAATAGGTTCAAAAAATGACCTGAGCTGTCCAACAGTTTCTGATGATATTGCTCCTCTCCTGGGTGATTCTGAAGTTCCTCCTGTACAAAGAGTAACTCATATTTCAGGGTATAATTATGGACTACCTCATTCCTGTATCAGGTAAAAATCACTCACCTTTATTTTGCTAATACTTCAGGTTAGTCATAATTGATTCTTTCTTAATTGTGGAGCAGAATCTGTATTCCTCACCTCCAAATAAGCAATCCAAGCACTACAGAGCAATGCAGTCTTACAGACAAGAGAGATATTAATAGGCATTTCCAACTCTCCGAGTCTTATAGAAGGAATCATCTGAATTTGACCAGCTGCTACTCACCAAGGTTGTCTAAGAATAGTCTTTATTGTCTTTCAGGATTTAAGGCTTTCTTTTCTTGGTATTTGAGCCAATCTTTGTCCTTCCATGGGACTATTTTTTAAAACATTACTTTTCCAAAATATAGCATTGCCTATTGTTAAATTTGTCAAGCTTTTCTTGGTAAAAAGGATACAAGCTGTGATGGCTATATTTGTTTATAAAGAAATCTGTGAACTGAAGCTTTAAAAGGAAGAAAAATGAATGCAGCTGGGAAGGGTTACAGACCTGGTGGTGAGAGGGATGCCTTGCAGCTGCTCCCTAGGCATGTGATGTGTAACTTCCATACTTTTCCCAGTGTTTGGTACTGGAGGGGCTGGGGTTATCATGAACCACTGGTAAATCTACCCTGGCAACATTTTTAAAGCACTAAATATTTTTTCCTGATTCACCAGCAGATCATGTACGCCTCTGCCCACGTAATACCAGTATCTAGCTTTTGCAATGCAGTCATGGTAGTTAATATGCAATGAAAAGAGGTAGTTTTATGAAGTTAGGTGTGGTCTGGGAAGGTTGTGGAGAAAGATTTGGTACAGGGGAAGATCCATGGAGTTGAGGTGTCAGTTACAGCTCCCCCCTGGAGTGCATGTAGCCTGGAGGGATAGATGCTGCTGCCACGGTGGAAAAGTACTAAGGTGACGTAATAAGTAGAGCACTTAAACTGTGAAAGGCAAGACAGGTTTATAACTCTCCTTGGCTGGAAAAAAAAATCATTCCCACCTTCTGGAGAAGTGTACTAACTTCCAATATATATTGATATCTGGGTGTATTCTCTGTCTCTTCAGGAAGATGAGCCAATGTGCGGCTAAAAGGACAGGATTTATAATGTTGGCAAATTAAAAAATGATACATTATTAAACCTAATGCCTTAAGTAAAGGAGTTAAAGATTTTTAATCCTGCAATAGAGACATGTTCTTCATTGTTCTCTCTTTCCTTGTTCTCCTCTTTTGCAAGCACATTCTTCTGTACTAAGTATTAATGGCTCATCTCATGGGCTTTCTGCATCCTCCTCCTGAAATGCCTCCACTTAATTTTCTCGTGTTTGGAGAGTTGTGCATTTCAGGCAGGCTTGGAGCAGCATGCTTACCCTCAGGTTTGATTCCTGTTTTGCAAGTGCTTAACTGCTTTGCTGAATCCATCCATTCCCATGGCACCTTGTGATTTGACCATTGTGAAGGCTCACCTAGTCTCATCTACGAGAAATATTGGAAAACAGACACAATTTCAGATAGCAGAAGGACAAAGAGCTCTTTTAATGTGTTCAAATTTATTTTGAACTTGCCCACAGCAAGTAACTTCATTATGCAAAGACATAATTGTCCTTCTGACCTATTATTCAGTTAGATTTCTGATGATCTGTGTCATGACTGTTGTTTGACTTTTTTGCCTAGTAATGAAAAAATATTTTATTGTAAAATACAATTTATATTTTAAAAGAGTTAATAAGAAATACAAACTTTGTTTTCAGCATATAGAATTAATGTGCATTCTATTCCCATACAAAATATACTCAACAAAAATGTTCCTCTGTACTAGAAAAAAATATTCCTTTTTTCTCATTAACAGTCTCTAAATTTTCAGGTTTTTTTTTTCTCCAAATACTGCAATCCTTTCTGCTTCAAGCTCTTAGAGCACAACAGGCTCTTGCTGCAGGTCACCAATTACACCCTCTGGCACAAGAATTAAACTTCAGAGCTTCTGATCATTTGTTGGACAACATTTGGTGCCTAGTGATATGCATAAGCTCACACCAGCTTATGAAGCATCTTATTTCAAGTGTCATTGCCTTTCTTTTCCAACAAAAGAATTTTCCATCTAAATGCACAGCCTGATCCTGGACTGCACGGGAAAGCTGTACTAAAATTAAAGGGAGTCTAGTGACAAATGAAGATTGCTCATGTGTGGTCTTCAAAGACATATCTTGAGATTTAAATGTTCATCTCATGTGCTTCTGGGGAATCATGGACCACAACAGCAATGATACCACAAGCATATGGATGTTAATGAGATGTTGAGTTACTTGTGTGGTTACAATTTGTTAGACAACTGGTATATATGAGTTTTCAGTTGCTATGCTAAGAGATTTTGGCACCTGGACAGTGTGGCAGAAACACTGCTTTTGGGCAAGTTGGGGCTTGATTATTTGAAATGCAAATCCAGGCTGAAAATTGTTACCGATTTGGCTGAAGACAGCTTGGAGAAGGGGGAGATATGTTGAATACACTTTGGTTAATTCAAGCCTATTCTATTCACAAAATGCTGTACACAGCAGGTTAATCAATGAAACATGAAATTACCTCCTGTTTCTGAGATGTCTGGAAGGGGACTGAAGTAAAATTGCTGAAACATAAGAGCACAACTTTGTTTATGGTCTAAAACCACATAACCCTTTTATGAAAAAAGACCAAAGGGGAGACAAGGATGAGATCAGTTGTTTTTTTTTTTTGAGCTGAATAGGAACATGGTGATACTATCTGGTTTGCCAGTTTGAATCATTTATTTGTAACCAGTTGGAACAATCTATAATGGGAAGAAAAAAGTCCAGCGTGAGAGGAAAAGCAGCTAAGTATTGTATATTTTCCTTTTCAAGATCTATTCATATTTTCATTGTACATGATTAAGTGACTAATTGTGAGTGCAAATAATTGCACAAGAATAAATTTCATTACATTATCTTGGATATTATGTCAGCTTCCATCTCATGTTTGTGTACAACTGAAAATATGTCAGTCCAGCAGCAAGTTCAGGAGTGTAGCTGTACAAACATAACTATTCCTTTATCAGAAGCATACAGGAAGCATCAGTCTGTTTAGGAAAAATCATTAGATACTGCATCATGTAAAAATGAGGTGTGTTATGGAGTTTTTTGATAGGCATTAAGAGCAGAAATATTCTGTGGTAAATGTAACAAATTCAGGCGTATTCTAGATTCTGTTGTAACTTAATTTTAAAATGTGGACCTCCATTATTATTGTAGATCCAATACTTTCGACAAAGAGACTCCATGGACAGAGAGTGAAAAAATCAGAGTGTGTGTCCGAAAACGTCCTCTCTGCGTGAGGGAGGAGAGACGTGGGGAGGCAAATATAATCACAGTGAAAGATCAGGAAACCCTACTTCTCCACGAGAAGAAGGAGGCAGTTGATCTTACACAATACATTTTACAGGTAACGTCCTGCATTGAAGGTTGTGTTTATGGGCCAGTCACTTGCGTGGAAGGGTAAAGCTGGAGTTTCCATGAGGAAAAACAGAAAAGGACTATTAGTATTTCTTATACTGAAATAGGTGGTGGGCTTTTGATTTAGCTCAGAGTTGTCTGTATTTGAGTTGCTTCTGATTTATGCCAGACTGTACCAGCAAACCTGAGCCCAGAATTTTAAGGTCTAGAAGTATGTCTCTTGGAACTTTGTATGTGGCAAAATAAGCCCTCTGCTACATGCCATTGCTGCAGAAGTGCCTGCTGATGGCTTTCCAGGGTACTTCAATGAGGAGTTCCCTTTCCACTGTTTAAGCATTGTAGGAGGTCTGTTTCAATGAATCATACATACCCTCGTCCTGTCCCTTCCATTTTTCTCAAATGCTTTTGAAAATTAAGTTCCCGTTTGTCTTTGTCTCTTAATCCCAAATATTTTGTGCTGTCATAGTTCAAATTCTCACTTGTGACTGACAACACCAGGAACAGAACTGATTTGTAGAGGCAGCAAGCTATTCTTGCTCTCCTGACTGTTATTTTTACAATCTGGGCCCTAGTAACAACTGTTTAAAGTATCTGGTAAAATTTCAGATCTCTCTCAGGCCCTGTTCTTGTGCCACCTTTTACAGTGGGACACATGCTGAATCATTTCCACAGACCCTGCTTCTTTGAGTCTGATCTGGAGTGTGGGAAGTTTTGATTTTCTTGCCCCCTTTTGAGTTCAGACAATGTAGCTTTGCTTAGGAGCAGCTTCTTTCTTCTCTGGCACAAAACTTTTTAAGAACAGAGGCAATTAATCACAACTAAGTCACAAGTGAGAACTAATTTTGAGAGAGTCAAGAGTTGACTCTCAGTTCTTTTTCTGTTACAGTCTGACAGTACTTCTGTAGACTGATTAATTTCATGAATAGGTTTTCTTTAATTAGCTTTTTTTTGTTTCTTGTTAAAAGGCTCTGGCATGTTATGCTTCAGAGTGATGGGAAATTGAGGCATTTTTGTTTTCTTTTTTTTCCCCTACCCTGAATCTCTTGACTGGTGTGTTCCTACATGAGTTGTGCTGCATATTAAGTGTGCTAGATCGCTCTCTACCTAATCCAAAGCCATATGAAATCACTCGAAAGACTTTCATTATTTCATTTTACCTTTGAATGGAGTTGGAGGGGATGTGAAACATATTCATGCTCATGTAAAGATTATCTTTGTTTTTTAGCATGTTTTTTGTTTTGATGAAGTCTTCGAGGAGTCATGTACCAATCAGGATGTGTACATGAAGACAGCTTATCCTCTCATTCAGCATATTTTTAACGGGTAGGGCATCAGTGCTTACATTGGTTATTTTATGTTTTCTTGTTTTCCAGTTTTATGTGTATGCCTGAATTTTGCTTTATGCTTTTCATCTTTTGACACGTACCTTGATTTCACGTTTGCCACATGCCTTCCCCCTTTCAGAATATCTTTGATTGCAATTTTGACAAAAGTAAATCAAGGAAAACTTTCTTCACGCTAAGTGACAAATCTCAATTACAGAAGAAGGTTAAATTGAACTCAGTTCCAACAAAGTGACAGCATGGTCAGCCTAGAATAAAAACATGTGTCCCAGGATTTCTGAGCTCTCATCTTCACTCTAACAAAGGCTCCTGTGTGGAAGAGCACACTCATCTGTAGAGAAATAATGTTTCTCTACAGATAATAATGTCTCAGGAAAGAGTAGTCTCTTTCCTGAGACTACTGAGAGATATTTTTATATGTATTTGTACAGTTCACAAGGTAATAGAAATTATGAATAACCTTGTGATTTATTTCTATTGATTTATATTTGCTTAGAGTTTTAATTGTAATTACATACTTCCTGATTAATAGGACATTTATGGTGGTTTTACATGAGGCATCTTATTGCTATGCAAGGTTTTATATATATATATATATATATATGGAATATATACTTGAATATAATTACTTTGAGTCTTTGAAGGAAAATATGACATAGCCATACTGAAAATTAACAAAATGGAGCATTCTGTTACTGAAAATCTCCAAGTGTCATCAACAGAGACAGAGTATCATGCTCTTGAGAAAAGGAAAGTGAGAACAGAGAATGAGGCTTGTACCTTGCTGTGTAATAATCACTAAAGCCACAATTCTTCTAGTCCAGTAATGCCACCAGAAGAAATTATGCTATTTTTTTCCCAGCTTCCCCTTACTTTTCCATTCCTCCTGCCAGCATTCATTTAATCTGACACCATGGTGAGGCCAGTCTGCAATCTAAACTGGCAAGAAATTGTTCACTGTGATTATTGCAGCCCTACATTTTTACCCATTCCTCTGCCAGGAGTACTGAGCCAGGTACAAAGTCTTTTCTTTAAAAGGGGCAGGGAAAGGAAAGAAAGGAAGAGAGCCAGTACCTTGTGCCACATCAGATCTCCATAGGGTATACCTGGAAATCATTGTTAAGCATCTTGCATTTTCCCAGAGAGGGTAGCAGACCAAACCTCATTGCTAAGGGGCCGCTATAGATAGATACCAGCATTGCAGAATATTATTTAATAGATATGAATGAATCAGATATGTCACTAAACACATATGCTGTCTTCACAGAGGCAATGCAACTTGCTTTGCATACGGGCAGACTGGTGCTGGCAAGACTTACACCATGATAGGGAATCACCGGAACCCAGGACTCTATGCCCTGGCTGCCCAGGACATCTTTAGGTACCTGGAAGCATCACCATCCAGGAAAGAGCTAGTGGTTCTGATCAGTTTTTATGAGATCTACTGTGGACACCTTTATGACCTGCTAAATGGAAGGCAAAGGTATGATTTCCTACAAGCCTGTGGTTGTGAATCAGTTGGTTACTGTTTGGAAATCAATTACTGTTTTCATGTGATTACATTTAACATACTAGCATTTATAGTAAATGTTATATATTTAATTAGGGTTGTTCACTGGAGATACTTTAGGAGGATAGCAAGATCTGACAGTAGATACTGTGACATTGATAGGGACTCCTGGTTTGTTGTTTGGGGCAAAAATAAGGACTGGTTTGAGATACAAGCTCAGGCTCTTGCTTACACTGTAATAAGATAATAGCTGGACATCCATAGGAAGAGAAACAAGCTTCTTGTGGCCAGAAGTTCCTGTCTTAAAATCATAGAACATTTTGAGAAGGAACCTTAAAGATCATCTTGTTCCACTCCTGCTGCCCTGGTCAGGGACAACTTCCACTAGACCAGGTTGCTCCAAGCCCCATCCAGCCTGGCCTTGAACATTTTTGGGCATGGGACATCCACAACTTGTTTGGACAGCCTGTTGTGTGTCAGCCATTGGGGAGTAACTCTGGCTGTCCCTCCTGCTGTGCCAGTGGGGATTTGGCTCTTGCCAGTCCAGTCTCTGAAGATCCTGTTGATCTCCTAAGTGCTGGACTCTGCAGAGCCTGCTCACCTTCTCCCTGGGCACCTTTGCCTGGCAGCCCAGTGACTCAGCCCAGCAAGCCTCTGGAGGTGATGCTGAAATAGGACTCTAAGGCTGTAGGAGCTGCTTTAAAATCCTGTGCAAAAAACATTGGAATATGAATAGAACAAAATTTACAGATTGATGAGGACTTAGAGGAGCCTGAGATGTAGTTTAAAGAGAGACAGGAACTCTTAACATGTAAATGTGGTAATTTACTTCCCTGCTTTATTATATTCTTGAACTAGCAGAAGTGCACTAGTAATGTCTCTTGAGCAGTGAAATGTCAGTGGTACTTGTTATAAATTAAGTATCTCTTCAGCTCTGAAAATAAATTAATGACAGCAGGGCCTCTCCCTTGTCAGTAGCCTTGATTGCTTTTTCTCAGTGTCACAGCACAGACGTGTGTTTTCATTGCTGCTTTCTAAGATTTCAGAGATCTTCTTTTTTACACTGTTCTCTTGTCAGACTTTTTGCAAGAGAAGATGGCAAGCATGTCGTTCAGATCGTTGGACTGCGGGAGGTTCAGGTGGATTCTGTAGATGAGCTGTTGGAGGTAATGTTTGGGATTTGTTCTTTGTCTTCTGCAGCCCAATTTGCTTATTTGTGAGGTGTGTCACTTACAGAGATTATTTACTGTGTAGCACAAGTGTATGTTCCTGTTTAAGGCCCTGAAATTGACAACCCCAGCAAGGCACCAAGGGGCTCTATTAAAAGTGCCTTTATTGCTGTTTCTTGTGTTAGCCACACGCTAACAGCTGTCACTTCTGCTGCCATTCCATAGGGAAAGATTCCAGAAGTTAAATATTATCCCAGTAAGGGACCTTGAAAGCTGGATATGTATTTTCTCTCAGTGTGGTGTCTTGTGGGTCTATGAACTTAGATTTTTGTATATAAAAGATATGTGGTTTTTGCACAGAATATATAAATTTGAAAATTATTAGAAACAGACATTAGAAAATACTTAAGATTGACATATTTTGTCTGAATTAGGATTAAAATACAGCTTATGTGTGTGCATGATAACAGCCAAGTAAAATGAAGATCTTTAAACAGTAGCTAACATTCACCAAGAACAAGGCTTCAGTTTTCTTTCCTACCTGGCTGAGCCCTAAAAGGACACTGGCAAATTTTCTTTATTGTCCTGCAGCAAGCAAGCTGATTAAATCAACTTTCTATTTAGTCTGACTTTGCATAGTTTAATTTTTTTTTTTTTGTAAGGAAGTGTCATTACAAGTGCCTGATACTGTAACTGGCTCATTAAAATTGTCATAATGTTGTCCACTGATATTGCACTTAATTTAGTTGTTTATCTTCCCATTAACTGCAAGCTTCAGGACAAGCTGATGATGCTTCTGTGAGTTAGAGTGCAAATTTGTTGCATGGTTGATTTGCAATTCCTTGGTATTATCACATTCCACACACAGAAGAGCTATTAAATTACTTAATTTTTACTGCTATCCTGGGGGGAAAAAATACATTGTTCACAGGGCCTTTTGAAAACAGAAATGTCACTGGCTTGACTCAGAACTTCTGAGTATTCTGCAACAGCTATATGGAAATATATTCTATGGTGCTTTGAACACATCCCTGGTTAGTTACTACTCATTGATGTTGGCTTTGATTCAGAAATTGTCTTCACTTAGCACTGATATAAAGCTCAGAAGCTGCAGTGGGTGGTTATGTTACTCGTTGAGAACTGGCCACTGAAAAGCATGAATAATTCACATCTATCAGCTGAGAATGTATTGATTTTGCTAGGCAGTATTTTGATTTGTTCTTGCAGCCAGAAGCAAAATTAATGGCTTTTCTATGAATGTCCTGCTGCAGTCAAGTTAGACTTTCTGCAACAGTCCTTTAAAGTTTTCAAAAAAGAATTATCCAGATTTTTATCTTGAAGGAGCCTTTATCCTTCTGCCTTGCCTTCCTTCCTTGTTTTCTTATTTTAATGTTTTATTGAGTATAATTAATCTTTTAAATTTGTTCCTTACTCTGGCATAATTTTTTTTTTTTTTAGTTTTGGAAATTTAGAAAGGTTTTGGCAGTTCATGAATTTGTATGTGACTTTCTGGATAACTGTACTCATCTACTACAAGAGAAAGTAAAATTTTAAAAGAACACAAAAAATGGTCAATCTCTTAAGGCTCTTAGATTGTATCTGTAGTACTAGAAAAGTATGCCAGCAATATAAGAAAGAATTTAATTTTATAAGTTGAATATTTTGCAAATATGAGTGAGTGTGTGATGCAACAGATTGTTACTAGCAGTGTAACTCTTTAAGCAGTGTAGCTCTTTAAGCTCTGTAGTGTCACTACAAGCAAGTCCATGCAGAAAGCTCTGAAAGAAATATTGGAAGGGATCCAGTCTACCTCTACTGCCTTGCACCAAATCTTAAGGCTGTAATGCACCTTTCCTCACAATGTTTCCTCACCTTGTGAGGACAAGATATCTTTCTGTGATATTGTAGTTTTATTTGCAATTCATTTGGATTTTGTCCCCTTATTTTGCAGGTGATTTTGAAGGGGGGAAAAGAACGTAGTACAGGAGTTACTGCTGTCAACTCCGATTCCTCTCGGTCTCATGCTATCATCCAAATTCAAATTAAAGACACAAGCAACAGGGCATTTGGGAGGTAAGACCGGAAAAGCAGAAGTGCTCAGTGCTGATGTCAAGCCCAGGGACATCCAAGAGACAAAGAGGAGGTGTTAGTGCACAGGTGTCAGTTAAATTAGAAGACAGGGTTAAAAAGGACTATGAAAAGTTCCACAGTCCTTTCTCTGTTTCCAAGGAGAATGTTTTAGGCACATCTGCAAGAGCTTTGTCAAAATTCATACAAATTTCCAGTGAAGGAGTTTGACAATCAAATCCATCCCCTCATCTTCAGTGTTTAATTTGGCTAAAGATAGACACCTTCAGTGTACTTATCCACATGTGACCTCGCCACCTTTGAAGTAATAGAATGAAATTGCCACTTCTGGGATCCTTGCAGTAAATTATGTCAGGTGCATTTGCCCCTCAAAGCATTTCTGTCCTGTAATTAACTACAAAAGGAGTGTGGGTTGACCAGCCCAGGTGGAGATGATTCCACAACAAATGTTTGCCTTTGGCCAGAAGAATCAGAGTACCTCACATAAACCTCCATGATAATTTGAGTGTGTGACTCTGATGCTATCTGCAGCAGACAGAAAGAGCAGTTTACTTACGCTTGTGGCATCCACTTTATGTATTCAAAAATGAATTGTATCTCTTTCAGTCATCTTTTCTCCAGAGTAAACAACCTCAAGAAATAGGTCTGAGGAAGAATGCCTGTGCATCTGCATTACTGCCAAGTATCACAAAATCCTGCTAACGCCTCCTTCCATTAGCTACCACACTGTCTTCTTTCCCAGGATCTAATTTTGAACACAAGGCAAAATGGGAGGGCCACAAACACTAAAGAGAGCAAAAGACAGAACAGGCAAGCTTAGAAATAAAAGTATAGAGGTTTATGTAGGTGTGGCATTTGAACTGGGGGGGTTTTGTGTGTCTGAAAGGGAGGTGGAGCTGAACTGATGGAAGGGTGCCAAGATGTGCCAATAAAAAAAGTCAGGGGTGTTGCAGAAAAAGAGGAAGGACAAAGACAAAGATACAGTGCCACAGTCAGTACAGCAGCTGGCACCCAGAGCTAGGGAGTGTGAAAGGGAGTACTGGAGTTCTGTCGAAAGAAACAGCAGGGATCACTGAAAGCTCAGTGTATTACTTGCTACACTGGAAATTTCTGTTCCTGTTGTCCTGAATTTCCATTTGACATGGCAGTTGTCTGTTTTACCTGGAAGGAGAAATCAAAACATTTACAATTTCTTTTAGCCCTCTTCTTAGGAAACTAAAAACACAGTGATTATCTGGAAAGATGAATGTGTTGTACTTTACACAGCTTATCCATTAAACTGTGGAGCACTGTCATCGCATGTAACTACACTTTATATTATTTAATGTTAAGATGCTCTGACACGGTTCCTGCTCCTATGCTTATTTTGGTATCTCAGATATTTCCAATGGATGCTTCTTGTTGTTCAAAAGTAGTTATTTCTAATCACTCTTCTAATGCTATGTGTTGCAGCCTGCTGGTTTAATAAAGAAAAAAAGAAGAGGGGACAAAAGCCCCTAAGATAAATGCAACTTTGTTTTTTCTAGGATATCATTCATTGACTTGGCTGGCAGTGAAAGAGCAGCTGATGCCAAAGAAAAGGATCGACAAACAAAAATGGAAGGAGCAGAAATAAACCAAAGTCTTTTGGCAGTAAGCTACTGTTATATCTGGGGAAAGTTTTGTATTTAATTACTAGCATGTGTTTTAGAATAAAAATGAACCACAGAATAATGTATGCATGTATTCCATGGAGAGGAAAAAATAACCAAGGTACTAAGTGTGTTCAGTTTAATATGTCGCATGACCAAAAAACAATTTAAGAAGGAGGAGATATCCCTATAAAAATTAAGTATTTTTAATCCATTCTTACTGCCAGACTGGTAAGATAGCATGGGCAATGTTAGGTGTAGTATAAGTGTCCCACATTTAATATAGAATGTTTTGTCCCTTCTAAAGAATACTGGCTTGGAATTGTGATGTTTGTTTCATGAAAGCACATCTGTTCCTGCCAGTTATTTTTGCCACTTAGGCTTCTCTTTCAAATCAAGAATAAAGGATTTAAGAGCATAAAAACGATCAATTTATGTGTGGGGAGAAAGGAACGGGAAGAAATGCACTCCTGAGGCAAACTGTCTTTTTAAGTGTCCTTAGTCAGGCAAAGAGGGACAAAGGAGCAGAAAAATGCCATCTAAGATAAAGCAGAAGTGCCTGTAAGTGTAAATGCTGCAGAAAGGTTTGCACCTCCTCTAATGCAAACCAGCAGGGCTCAGTGGTGACTGGGGGCTTCTCTGAGCCAGGCTGAAGGTGATTCAGGTTCCAGGGTAGGAGCCAGCAGTGCAGAAGTTTGTACCTCTTAGTATGTTGTAAATAGGAGGTAGCTTGCTCTGCTTTGGGAATGTAGATGCTCTTTTGCACAGAGGCTCTTCCTGTACTGGAATATTAGTATTTGTGTTGAGGAGGTAGCCTGTGAAGTGAATGTGTTTCTGTACTTCATGCTTTCTTGAGTATTTGCTGGTGAATAGCTGAGTGTCATGGGGAGTTGGTACCTCTATAGAAAGAAGTCTGATCTTGAAGGTCTGCTCCAGCCTAAACAATTCTGTGATTCCCAAGAATCCTAAGCCCATGAAATTCTTTTAAAAGAAACAGTAAAATCAGAGTCTGTACATTTTTGGTATTGTGTGAAACTAAGAAGATACCTGGAAATCTACAAGTTGTGACTGAATTAAAAATAAAAAGCAGCTTTGGGTAAATCTTCGTAACCTGCAGCCTGTAAAACCTAGCTCTGGCCTCAATGATCATAACACTCTCTTCAGACCTTTTAACCCATGAAATCTCAAGCCTGCTGCTGGTTTGAATATTCATGTTGTTTTCAAGTGGAAAACTTTCAGACACTGCAACTATGAGAGCACTATAACGAATTACAATAGTTTAATCTCTTTCTTGTTGCAGGTGCAGTTTTTAATAAAATACGGGGAAAGTGAGAATAAGTGTCATTTTCAGTGGGAGTTTGTAAAATGTAGAAAGGCTGTAAATGCTTGATGGCAGTATCACCATGACAATACTGTAATCTGCTATCTTGAGAAGAAAGAAAATAAGAGAGGTAGCTCAAAAAGCTCTGTCCTTTGGGTACACCTGCTCTGCAAGCTGCAGCATAGTCTAGGCTACTCCCAGTCTGGCTTCAGACTAGCTAGATGTAGTGCAGGCAGCAGCTCTGTGTAGCTCCATGTGTGCTCAATGTGTGTGCTTGCTCCTTGCATCTGGTGCTGCCCATGGAGCCATCAGGCAGGGCACAAATTGACCTTGCAAGGGACAACACATACTAAGAGACAAAGTGACACAGGACCTGGGTATGCTTGGTTTGATGTTGTTCAGATCCTTGCCAGTGCACGACTGATCTGTTTTCCCCTTCTGCTTTTTCTTTCTTTTGGTAGCTAAAGGAATGCATTCGGGCGTTGGATCAGGAACAAGTGCATACTCCTTTCCGGCAAAGCAAGTTAACTCTGGTAAGATGAGCAGAAAGGCAAGAGGAGAGGTTTCCCTGCTGAGGACAAAAATAAACAAAAAATCAAATAAATAAATGAATAAATAGATGGCATAGTTCAGTAACTACTTCCTCTCTTGAGGAAGAGAGGGAATGCATAGCTTTTGTAAATTTTAAATTTAAAGGTAATAACAGAATTAAAGTTAACTGCAAATTTCCTCCAGCCAACAATGGGGACTGGCATGGGAAAAAAAGAAACAAGCCAAGAGCTGAAACCAAACAAAACCCCATACACCACCATCCAGACTCATACCATTCAGACTCACCACCATCCATCTCCCCATAGTCTGAAAACAATTTTGCATCTTCTATTCAGTTACTGTCCTGGGAGCTTTCATCAACAGTTCTTTACTTCAGCTGTAACTTTTGCTTTATTCCTCAAACCATATTGGCACCCTTGCAGCATCTGGAACAAGGGCTTGTTTAGAGCCCTAATTAATACTTGCATTCATTTTAAACTATAAACAAATAAAGGCAAGAAAAACTGAGACAAGAGGACTACATTTATCAAAAAAATTAAAAAGCCACTACAAAAATTCAACTCATGTTGAATTTCTTCTGTAGATGTTAATTTACAGGATGTGCAGGAGGCATGAACTGCTAAGAACCCAATTTCTTTTTCCTTCAAACCTTAGGTGCTGAAAGACTCTTTCATTGGCAATTCCAAGACATGTATGATAGCCAATGTTTCACCGAGCAACCTAGCTGCAGAGCACACCCTGAACACTCTGAGATATGCTGACAGGTAGGAGGTGAAACTCAGTTCTTGCCAGGGTGAAAATCACAAAGTAAAAAGCAATGTGTGATGTCTGCCATTACATTTTGTTATAGTTGAATTGAAAATGTCGATTTAGGCAAGAAACAGAATCTTTAAAAAGCTAATAAAATCGTTACTTATTCCAACTCTTATATTTTGTCTTAAATTCTTTTGGGTCTTTTAAGTACTTTCTGATGGCCACTTTCAGTGATGAAAACATCACTGTGTGCCCTGTAACTGCAGGATTACTGACCTTAGCAATCAAAAGTTTTAGTTTAGTTTTGTATTTTGATTCTACTTAGAATGTGTGCAAGGCCTTCACCCTCCCTCCTACAGAGCAGGAAGTAAATTACAAGCTGTGCAGTGCTGGTCTTAAAAGGACAAGAGACAACTTGAGGGGCAAGAGGAGCAGAGGGAGCAGCTGAGGGTCAGGGTGGTAGGGGGAAGGGTGATACCAGTCAATCATCTCTTCCAGCTGTACTGCTGAGTCTGATCCAGGAGCAGTGCAGCCCTGCGCACATCACCTGAGCTATGAAGCCCCACTGCAACTACTTCAAAAGTCCTGCTTTGAGCCTTGTGGGACTCTGTGATGTGCTGTGGAGAACACCAGCTGGTTCTGCTGCATTATAATGTGTGGAAATGCACTTGCACTGAAACTGAGGCCATTTCCATTCACTTGACCCGTTATGCACTGCTCAAGGAACAGCTTAATAAGACTGCTATAGATTTTTCGAAAAGTCCAGGAATTTTAGCAGAAGAGTTTTGATACCTGTGAAGATCACAGACAGAAAACAAACCACGATGTTGAATTCAATATTTAGTCTTAGTATGTGAAAGCATTAATTTATTTTGAAGATGCTGTTATTTATCTGAAAGCTTGACATCTTCTAAATCCAGCCTCTTTTTTACAGGGTCAAAGAGCTGAAGAAAGGGATTAGATACCCTGCCCCTGTCACAAAAAGGCGTCGCAAAGCTGGAACTGTATCTCCAAGGCATATCCCAGGCTCTCCCTTTTTGCCACCTGGGGAAAAGAGCTCTCCAAAGAAAGTGAAGCTAGGCCTACAGCATCCCTCAAGTGCTGCAAAACCAAAGGCATATCCTGCAACACTCCAGCCACCTGGAGTCCCTCTTACCTCTACCCCCAAGGGAACTGGCAAAGGACATGCCTACATAGAAGAAACCAGCACTCCCTGCTTCCACCACACCACCCCAGTTAAGGGAGTCCTAGAAATAACACATCCCCTGAAGAAAAGTTATCTATCTCCCCTCCCTGAAAAGAGCTCCTCGGTGGAGGATTTCATTTCCACAGAAGAGAGTGGCCAGCAAGACAAGTATATGCAAAACAGAACACCTGTCCAGTGCCTGAAAGTTCAGACAGTGCAACCTCTTCAGAAACAATTTGTTCCTAATGACAATAATTCCTCTGGAGATGGCAATCTCCAAAGCGAACAGGAATGGGGAAATACTTTTCCTAAACAGTCTGTTGAAGCGTGGACATATCTGCCTCCCTATCAGAAGGAAAGGGAAGAGCATTTACGTCTTTATCACCAGCAGTTTCAGCAACCCCCTATTCTAAAGCAAAAGTTGAACTATCAACCTCTTGAGAGGTTTTTAATACAGTACAAGCCCGAGGAGATTCAATTGAAGCAGGAGCTGAGCCTACCTCCAACTGAAGGGCAGAGCAAAGAGTGGATACAGCAGGAAGATCTGGATGACAGTGATTTCAGTGAAGATTCTTTCTCACCTGTCTGTAGTCAAAAGAGTGTGAAAAGAGGAAATAGCAGCAAATCCAGTCAACATTCATTTTTCCTTCATGAAAGAGAGCAAGGAACCGAAGAAGAGCAAAAAGGCCAAAAGCGGCAGGATTTATTTTTTAAATATTCAATACCCACAGAAGAGCGTGGATTAGATGACAGCTGGGATTGTAGTGAGGGTCGCTCAGCAGTAGAGGAACCCATTAAAAATGCAGGCTGCAGCAAAACTCCTGCAGACTGGAACTATGACTTAGCTGAATTCCCTCCAAGCAATACTGCAGAAAAACCCTACTGCCTGCAGGAAGATCCTGCTTGCAGCTGGAGAAATAGCAAGGACTTCCTAGCTGATCACAAAGAGTTCAAGTCCAAACACAGACGTATTGTTTACTCCAGTGAAGCCACCTTAACTCCAGAAACGGATGCTTCAACTCCGTGTGTATCTCCTGTATTGAAATCAGGAACTCCGGAGTGCAAAGAATTTGATCCTCAGCATGAGGAGAAGGAAGAATCCACTTTGGCTAAAAAGGCTACCCTTGTAGGAGGAGGTGTAAATTGGAAAGCTCAAAAAAATGGAGTCAGCCACTCCGTTTCATCCAGTTCCTCAGACTTCACCTCCGAGCTCATGACCCCACTCCGGGTGTCACCTCTTGATGGTGAGGACACAACTGAAACAGAGAAAGCGACTTCCAACCAAGAGCAGCCCCACGGCGAGAAGCAGGTGCCGGACAGTGACGCCCAGAGCAGGTTTGAGGAGGAGGACTGGCAGTGCACCAGGAGCAGATCCATGACCGACAGCATGCTGGAGCTGGCAGAGCAGCCTGGCCATGGGGAAAGGCTCTGTGCCCTGCTGGGCTCCTCTCAAGCCACAAACAAGAAGCTCCCCCCCACCTGTGGTCGTGTGAAGCCGTGCTGCTGCCACCTGCGATCAGTTTTATCCAAGCAGGGAGTCCGGCGCAGTTTGTTTGTTGAACGTGACCTGGCAGAAACATCCACAGCTGGATCCACAGCTGGATCTGCCGTTCCCGGGCCAGAGACCCCGTCTCGGGAGAGCAGCCGGCTGCAGCAGCCCAAGCCAGGACTGAGGAATGAGGATCTCACCCATTTTGAAGACCCTGCCAAGTCATCGTTCGGCAGTGAGGAGACAGGGTTGCTAAAAAACAAGCCAAAGCAGAGTATTTTTACACAGGAGACTTTTGCTGCAGATGCAGGATTTGCAGCCAAAGATAATAAGCCAATAGCAAATGCAAAATGCCCCTCACAGGTGTCCAGCAGCTGTTCTCCAAGTGCTGCATCAGAGATGGGGAAGTGGCAGAAGGAAGCCCTAGAAAAGGCACAGTAAGTCTTGCTCATCATGAAGTTTGTAGTGAAGCTTAGAAAATCTGGACATGTGATACATTGGCCTTTTTTTTGTATGTCATACTTCTATGTACTTAAAAAAACAATGGTTAATCATTCTATTAAATAATTATAAGATTCATCATAATTTATAGTAATTATCTTTAAAATATATGGTTGCTTTTATTTAGTGATATTTTAAAATCTCACAGGAAGCCAATTATTATATTGTTCTAGGATAATGCTAGACAAATAAATATTATAATACAAACTGCAGTTCTCAGTAATTAAATGGCTTACTGTAAGCTGTAAAGTACCTAAAACATATCAAAACCTTCCATCAAGAATCAGGTTATAGCTGTTCCATCAATGAAAAGAAAAGCTGCTAGGGCAGCTGAACAGTCACTGAAGATGTAGATGCAAAGCTTCTGAGTACTCTGAGCTGCCATTTTCAGCTCCCAGGGACTGGGCTGCATTCCCTTGACTGAAAATACCTTGTTGGTAGGTGAAACTTGCTGAGAGGAATCAACAGCAGCACTGTCTTCCTGCTCAGCCTGTTTCTCACTGGAATTAGAGACTCATGGCCATAAGCCATTTCACCTATTGATTAGACAATTGTTGTGCTCCTTGATTCTCCTACAGTGAAAAGCAGTTGTGTGCTGCCTGTGCTAAAGAAGGGCTGTGGTCACTCCTCTGTGAGCAGCCCTCAGTCACCCAGCTCATCCTGAAGCCCACACCAGTGCAGTCCACTGCACTTCATGGAGCACTGATGTGCCCTTCCTGAGTGCCAGGGACACAGGACAGCAAGGCTTCCTCTGGGGTATTCCTCTTTCTTGAGGCCAGCTGTGATTACAAGCAATGATTACACTACAGGCTGTGTAACCAGTAACAGGCTGTGTTTTTTGTTAAACAGAAAGACTCTAATTCGTGCTCATCAGCAGCAGCTGGATGAACTGGCACACCTGTGCTTCAAAGAGGAGTGCTTGATAAATCAGATGTCAGCAATGGTAAGTGTTTGAAATGATGGTTTTGGTGGCTGTTGAGCCTGCATAAATTAATCTTAGACATGATTGACTTGAATTGGTGATGGGCTGTTCCTTTTCAGTTCAAGCCCTTCTCCAAGGCCTGTCTTAGTCCTGGGAGAGCCTCTCATTTTCAGTGCCTGCTGTGTTTGCCAGTCTCCACTCTCAGAGGACCTTGGGGAGCAGGAGATGGATGGCCAACCCTGAAGCCCTTGTCTCTGATAAGAGAGCCTTCCCTTATCTCACATCAAGGGGCAGACTGTACCAGACAGGCCATCTGTCCCTGTGATGTTTTAGTTCTTACAGGCTGGGACAAGTAAGCAATCCCACAGAACAGAGCACACCCCTAGGGCAGGACATTGGTGGGATTTGGCTCTTCCCTCTGGGAGCCTCTTTGCCTCTCACACTGCAGGTGTGCCAACAGCCTGGGCCTCGCTTACTCCAGTGTTCTGACCACTGTGGCTTGTGCCTCACATGCTCTTGGCTTTGATTACTCAAGTGTTTCTTGGCTTGTCTTTGCCTCAGATGATAGTGGTGTACTCTAGACCTAAAAACTGGCACCTGCATGGCCCCACTGCTAGCTAGGCAATCCCAGTTCTCTGTTTCTCCCGTATCCCAACAGATGCCTGTCACACCTATGTGAAAATCCAGACTATGAACATTTTCCAGTGAGAACTCCTGCCTTCCCAGTTCCCTCAGCTTCTCAGTAAAGCCAAGCTCCATTGGTGCATTGCATTATCAAACCATTTCAATTCCTGTCACAGTTCAGATCTGAAGTACAGGGACTCTTCCCTCAGGGACTTTGGAGTGAGGCCACCATGTGGCTTATTCACTGTGATTTCAAACTGCATATGCTGTTTTACAGATAACATACAGTTCACCAAGCAGCACAGGAGACATAAACTGTATTAGTTTTGTGGCAGACAATGCAGTGAAACAAAGCTATCTTTCATCTTCTTAATTTTTTTTAATCTTCTGAGATTGTTCTTCTTAAATCTGTTAGTCACTGGACACCAGCTCTCCCCCCGCATTTATTTGCCCCTTGCAGCAAGCAGTAATTTTCTGGCTAGCAGAATTTTTACAAGCTTGCCAGGCCTTCCCAGCAGTGTGTGAATAACATACCCTGTAGTTTTATTTCACAGCATGACCTTTTTTGGGTAATGAAATGTGCTTGGGCTTCATGCATCAGCTTCTCTCCTTCCATTTGCAGATGGTTTCAACTTCTCCAGCCATGAAACTTTGGCTGCAGGAGAAACTCCTGCCAAGATCAGACACACACTGAACAAAGCAATATTTAAAGTGCTTAAGAAAAATATGCCACAGCAGCTGGGCTAGTCTTCATCGCTGTCCTGATTTCCCTGCAGGACAGAGATGCAGTGCAGGAGATACAGCTGGAGTACTGCCAAATAAGCTTTTGCATGATTGATTTTCATACACAGCAGCTGAATTTCCCAGCCCTGGGGAAGCTGACACCTCCCAGCTTCTCAGGCACAGACCTACGAACAAAGGCACCAAACTACTCTCAGCTGGAGAGCAGAGTATGTCCAAGTGCCCCCTTACTAATACAAGCCCTACTTAAAAAAGGATGAAAACTACAGTTTTTGTCATGGTCCCATAATGGTTTTTATCCATGTGGCTATGAAAGGTAGAGTTCCCTGGGCTGAGGCTGGGTGTGGTGCTAGTATTGCTCTGGCAGACCTGCAGCCATGGCCCCATGACCTGATGGGACATAAATCCCTTGCATCTCTCAATATTGGGCTATAATGTCTGATCCATAGTGGCCTAACTCACCATTTATTTTCATAATTGACAAATCCAACATAAGAGGTGTCAGGAAAAGAGTTCAGTACATGGTAAAACCAGATGACCAGTCCTGGTACCAAACCTTTGAAAAGCTAACCAGAGTAGAAGACAGACAGCAGCTGCTTTATTTTTATTTTTAAGCAACACATGAGCTGTAATTTCACTAACAGATAAAACTACCAGAGTCAGTGAACCTTGGTATTTAGAGGCACTGACCTTTGTCTGTGAAGGCTGTGACTTAATAAGGAAATGCTGATTTAATCTACTAATATGCAGAACGCTTTTATGTTCTGCTGCGGTGTAAAAAATACTCTGATTTTTTCAGCCTACTGATACTGTTCCCTACTGTTTCCTTGTGCCTTCCTTGCCAGGATTTTCAGAATTTCATGGCCATGCTGGATGAAATCTTGGTGCTGAAGTCAAAGTGTGTCCAAACAATGCGAGCCCAGCTTCAGCTCTGTTCAGCCTCCCCTGGCACTGACAAATCACTGCAAACACGTCCACCCGTTTAGACCTTCTTTGCCTGCACATGCACTGGAGCAGCTACAGGAAACGCCAGCCAGCACTTTGCTACACCTGGTGCTGCAGAGCGTGGGTGGTAGGGGATAGTTTTTGGTTTGATGTTTGCGACTAGCATGTGTTTTATATAAGAGTGGAGCGAATTCTGAGTAAATGAGAGATGACTAATTGGCACCATAAGCTTTGTATTTCATTAATACCAGTAAGCCACATTCTTAACAGTAACAATTCAGCAGCCTTTAAATATCTCACCAAGTAGCAGTCAAGTCGTGTTAATGTATCATAGCAGCGTCTCACATCTTAAAGGCAATCCTGTGATGCCAAGTAAGGGAAACAACTTGGAAGCCAGAAACAGGTCAGAACAGAAATGCTCAAAAGCTACCCAGAAAAGTCTTTGCAAACAAAAGCCAGGAAAGACAGAGGAGCCAGGGGTTGTTACACTAAGGTGTCTAGACCTTAAGTATTTGGAAGTCAAGGCAGGATGTGAAGTGCTGTCAGTTTCAGAAGAAGGAAACCTATAGTTGAATTAATGCTTGGGATGAACCCTCCAGAGCTCCTGAAAGAGGTGGCTTTAACTTATGGGTAACGAGTGGTTTAGCAGGGACTTCCTACCAAAGATTCCATCTGGCATGTTAATAAGCACATGGGTTTCATGCTGCTGCCCAGAGGAAGACGCCAGCAGCTGTACCTGCAGCACACCACATCCAGTGCCTGCTCTGAGCAGAGCTGAACAGATTTCTCACATGAAAACAGGGTCTGCTTGGAGGCACTGGGCTTCCAGAAGCTGCTGACAGCACTGTCATGTGAAACTGGTATTTGAATCAAGGGCTATGGAGCCATCAGCTGGAGCCCTGCAGAAGCCCTGGTGCTGCAAGCATTGCATCTGAACCACAAAGCCAGTCCACTTGCTTTGAAGGCACAAGTGACCTTGAGACATACTTGCTGTGTGTGCACTCCCACTCCAAAATTAGGGCTGTCGCAGCACATTCATCCATCTCTGTGTCTCCTCAGTAACGCCTGTGGTAGCTCATTCAAAGCCTGCTCAGTAGCCAGAAATGCCAAGGGGAATGGAACACTGCTGTTTGACCAGCTGTGGGTTTTGCTGCCTGCCTGCACAGCCTCCCTGAGGAGCCCGGGTTGGGCTGAGCAGCAGGACAGTAATCACAGGGACACTCTGGGATGCATATTTGGTGCAAACACTCCCAGGAATGTCACCCAGCGTAGGCCTGGGGAGCAGAAGCAAATCCCTGATCACTGCCCTAGCTGTTGAGTTGTTTTTAGCCCTGGTTAGTCTCCATCTTGCAGCTGAGACTGGATTCCTCTGTGGAGAAGAGAGCAGAGTTTCTCTGGGGTCTGAGGTTATGCCTCTCAAAACGGTTCCTGTGTCCTGGTCACAGACAGCAGCAAGGCACCTGAACCTGGGTCAGAAGCCTCCCTCACTCACCCAGGGCTGTGAGGCATCCAGGAGCAAAACTCTTGGTATTTCTGCATGGCACAGAGCAGTGGTGCCTGACAGCCACCAGAGAGCTGTAGAGCAGTGGGAGATCAGCACTCTGCTAAAACCACTCAGGGAGGAACAAGTGTTTAAAACCACCGATTCCCTCCACTTCATGGGGTCAGGGAGAGCTTTCCTGTGAGTAAGGTGAGGGGAATACAGGGCAGCTGGGCAGTCCTCCTGATAGCATAAAATAAATGTGGGCACTTAGTTTCCCCGGCATGTTCTCAGCAAGCATGCAGCAAACACTGCTGTCAGGGAGCAGCTGAGGAGTTTGGCGAGTCTATTTGAAACCAAAGAAGAGGTCAGACTGTAGGATGTGTGCACAGGTCACAGGCAAATGTGATGCCCAGTCAGAAACAGTGCAAGGGAGGAAAATTTTCCCTCCACGTATTCTGACATTTGGGAAATGAGTGTTGGTTGATCACTCTTTCAGGTTTTTAAAAAGCAGCTGAGCAAAGTATATTCACAGGCATTTAGTGTGTCTTACAGAAGCTGGCTATTCCTAAGCAACACACAAGAATCATTTGCACAACCCACAGTGCCATGTCCTAACCTCGGAATCTGCAGGCACAGTTGTGACAAGACAGATGAGTGACCAAAAATTTCTGTGAGCAGAGATGTGAGTTAAGTCAGCGGCCAGATTGGAGCCACCTGTGAATCCCATCTAATCTACTGTGAAAAAAGCAAATCTGGCAGATCTGAGCCCCAGCAGCAATTCCCAGAGCAGGAACTATCTGCTCCCTCGAGGAACAGCCAGGGACACTGAGAAACAACAAATAATCAAAACAACAACCACACACAATTTTCTAATGTCTGATACAATCTTTTTTTCTTAAATGTGTTATCCAGTCAATCCACATGACTATACCTTCTTAAATATTTTATTATGTCTGTTCTCCAAATTTTATTTTCTCTACTGAAGGTGAGATTTGACAAAAATAAAATAAAGCATCTGGCTGTGAAAAGCAGCCCATCCTTGGCAATAACAGGGACATTGCTGCACGCCCCAAAGATACCAACAATGGGTTCCTCATGTGCAACAGAAACTATCCAGCTGTTGTCAGAAATGGTAACATTTTTCTCTCCCCTTTGAGGTTTATTACCTAGTTGCTGCTTTAATTCTTGTGTGAAAATGTGCTAAATGAACATTTTAAGTGTCATCCCCTTCCTACTGTTTGATATTTCACTGACAACTGCTACAAAAGGTTTTCACTTCAACTTGAACATGCATTCAAGTGTCATAAAAGCAATCTAAGAGATTTAGAGAGCTTGGCCATGTAGCATCAAATAAACACAGAACTAAAATGGATTCACTTTTGTATTCAGATGCAACAATGACTATTAATGCTTATTAGCAAAGGCTTGATACTTTATTTCAATAATTGACAGAATTGAAAATAAAATTCAGTTTGCTACAGAACTCTGGTGAAAATCATTTTAGGTAAACATCATCAAAATGTCCATTCGATTGACTGCAAAAGATTAAGTGGGGCTGGAAATCTGTTCAGGGATTTTCAAAGGGCCTGTTGGTGTGGAAAGTTTCGGGTGCCCTGACCCACAGCTGGACTGACCGTTCCTGGCCTGGAGAGCAGCCACAGAATGCTGTTGACACGGGCTCTGTGCTCCAGCAGATCCGCGGCAGGAGCCACGACGCCGGGCAAGAAAAGCCCTGGGGCACTGGGGCAGCCCGACTGCAGGATCAGGAGCCCTCGGCTGCCATGGGGGTGAAGGGTGGCTCTGCAGTACCAGAGCCATCTCCAGGCTGCTGCTGTCCAGAACCAGGAGGAGGCAGCTCAAAGATGCTCTCCTTGAAAGCACAACCACCAGCTTAGGCACTGTCTCTACGCTTCTTACCAGCCTTCCCGCCCAGGCACACAGATCTCAGACGGAACTCTGACAAAGGCACAGCAGGGACATAAATCAGTGTGACCTGACAGCCTAAGGAAAAGCTCCAAAGTCGTGTGACCAGGGATACAGCCAACCTTCTCAGCAGCCAGCAGCAGGGCAGAGCCCAGCCTTGCTCCAGCCAGCAGGACCTCCCCCAGCCACAATGAACTGTGCCTGGACAGTACCAGATTAACAAGTGCTGCACAGCACCCTGAACATTCAACTCTGGTCACACAGGGGCTCTTGTTACACATTCATCCAGCAGTTCCTCTTGTCTAAGCCACCCCCTTAACCCCTCACTCTGGTATTTTCTTCTCTGAGATGCCAACATAGCAATACCCTTCATGCCTTCAGCCACCCAAGGATTTAAACGCAGAAACATCACTGCCAAAGCAAGAGTAGCATGACCAGGGTAGACTTGGGTGGGCATGGGTCTCTGAAATAAGACCTTGCATCTTCACAGCTGCCACTTCCTGTATTCACCTCCCCAAGAGCTCAAACAGCTGAGTGATTATTCTGTGGGGTTAAGAGCCAGACCTTGGAGGGGAACTGTGAAAAAAAAAAACAAACCCACACACTAATACAATCAGAGATAATTTTATTCAGAGGTTTGGTCTAAATAGCTGTTTCTTTGCTGGCAAAGACTTCTTGCCCCTTCCAGACTGTCTGGTACCAGATGGGGATCGCTGGGGTAGCAATTCTGAGAAAACCAGAACGAGCAACACAACCAAATGCTCTCAGCAGTGATGGCAAAGCAGTTTGAATTTTGTTTTCAAGGTTTTTCAAATAATCAGGAACCCCATTTCCTCACTTCACTGTTGCATTTCTCGCCTGGGAAAGAAGAAAAGCTGTGCATTACCTGCACTCACAGAGGCAGCAGCTGCTGTCCCACCAGCTGCTCAATGTCCTTCTTAGACAATCTTTATTTCAGCTCCACCACCAGAAAATGGTGAAGGTCAACACTACGGGGTATGTGCAAGGCAACCTGCCCTGCTCCTCCTCATCATCCCTCTCCACATCTCCTAGATACTTGCCAGCAGATCCCCCTCTTGCATCATTTTAAGTAAACATTTAATTCACACAGTTGCGCACCCCACAGAGAATTCCATGAGTGCACACTGGGCCTAAATTGGATGTTTTGGTCATAGAGAGTTAACAACATAATGGAGACAAATGCCATCCCCTTTGGAGTCCTGGTGAGGTGAAACCTCCTACTGAAAAACCTACACTGGTGCAATGGGCTGAGACATTTTGCCCTCCAGCAGGCTGATGCTCCAGTTCCAGGCTCTAACGTGAGTTTGGATCCCTAGGCTGGGGTTTTGCCACAAAACAGAAATAAGCCACAGAGAAGCAAAGCACCTTCTACCACTGCAGCTGCAGCCCAGAGACCTCTGGTTGTTCACTCAACAATGTTCACACATGCCCACAGGAGCTGGCAGCACCTGGGTGGGCAGGATTCAGCAAGGTCCCCGTTTGCTGAAGCCAAAGAGCATGAGAGATGGGAACCATGACACTGGCAGTTATATTTCAGGGTTTTATTAGTTATTCTTCTGCAGAATCAAAATATTTAGCAAATTAGAGATTCCTCAAGACTGCTGATATTTCATG